AACAATTAGTTAGGAAGTAAAAGTTTGTTTTATGAGACTGGAGATGATGACGGACATGTTGGTTGCAGTACAACTTCAGTTGAAACGTGAGAGTCTTTTCCGGTGTTGCTTTAATGCAGCCACTGAATCCCAAAGGTAGAGCTCTTGCCGGATTTAATTCTTATCTGAGTGATCTGTTGAGAAGGGGTAAAAGGCCCCTACCTACATATAGACATAAGTAAAGCTAGTCTCATAATTTGACTTCCCAAAGCACAATGCAAGTGTAAAAGAAGATACATAATGTGGCCTAGTTCTTGTGGAAGTGTTCAAATTAAAGGCTTGCTTATCAATTTTCTGAATCCGGCGCCAGCAGAGTTCTTCATTTGTATCTCCTAAGAATCCACATATATCGGCTCCAATCATCGGAACTCCGAAGAGTCCAAAGTTCTAAGTGGCTGGAATTGAGTAAGCCAAATCCTCCCATTTTGCACTTGTCTCCTGTCCAGTGTGCTGTGTACCTATCAGAATATACATAAGCTGACCTGCTTAGTACAAATGGTCTTTTACCAGTCACATTGAGTAAGGCCTTGTTTGTTGCCTTGGCACCCAATAAACCAAATACATTATGAACATCATATTCTGTCATGTTACCCAAGTGTAAGGTTGATGCCGTAACATCCTAAAGCCTATACCCTATCCCCGATTAAAACATTAGGTGCTCCTAAGTCGGCCCTGGCCCAGGGCGACCAGGGCTACAACTCGAGGCCCAAAGCTGAGAGGGGCACACAAATTTTGTTTATAGCCCGTATATGTTTATTTATATATAAAAATAAATAATAAAAGGAACCAAACTTCAAAACTAGAAGGAGCCGTTCCTGATATGTTGTGGTGTCATCAATCACTTTTTGATTCTCTCAAGTAAACTTCCTTACTTAGAAAACAAAGTCAAATATATTTTATATATTATATAATATAATAAAAGAAAAACATAACATTAAGAAATTAAACAAAGATAAACCAACACGCCTTCTTCTTCTTCTTTTTTAATCAAAAAGCAAAAAGTCTCTCAAAAACAACACAAGAAGACTCTCAAATGCAAGCAAATTTTTATTTTTATTTTTTTGTGATTCTCTTCTTCTCCAACACTGAGTTGGAAAACAATCCTTCACAAGACCAAACCAGTGCCTTTCTTCCAAGGTTTTTTTTTTTTTATCTATAAGATCTTTCAAGGTTCTTCCTTTGAATAAATATTTTGTTAAAAAGACCAATGCTTCACTTGAAAATTTACCAAATGCAACTAAGCAATGTTTAATTTTGATAAAAATTGTAATTTTAGTATTTAATTTGTCTAAAGGGGCACACTTTTCGAAATTTGCCAAGGGCCTTAGAAAACCCTGGACCAGCTCTGCTCCTAACTTCCACAGCTTCAGGTTACAAGTAGTAAAAACACACCGAAAATAAAATATATTTTCTCCATTAAAAACAGTACAGGCGTTTGTTCCTCCTTGATAATTGATACTTGAACAAATAAAAATTCCCAATTGGATTAGGATTAGGATTAGGATTAGGATTATTCTAGTTGGATTTGTTTCATCGTTCATCTTTATATCTATATGATCCTTTTCCTTTATCTAAGAAGATAAAGATAAAATTTCAAAACGCAAATTACTTCATGTTAGAGAGACAAATGCGTACAATACTAATCCATTTAAATGCAAATAATTAAAAACAAAAAGAAAATAATTATTTTCTATGGATAAGGATAAAATAAAAGTTGGAACAAAGAAGGCCTATCTTTCCTTCCTTATTTCAGGCAGCAATAACATTATATTTTGTCCAAGGATAAACAACACAAAAGGGTAATAATCAAGACAATAATTTTTTCTATTTCTTCATTATCCATGCGGACCCAACCCTGCAACTCTCAACTGCTAAATATTTTCCAATGCATATACATAATTGGTGAAAAATGGAAACTTATTTTCTTTTTGGTGGAAATAGTTTACATATATTTCAAGAAAGCATTATAATATGCAAGAAAAGGCACCTAGTATTTTTCTTGGTCGATGAAGGTAATTACCACTATAAATACAAACCAAACTTGATCACCATACTCACAACTCACAATCACTCTACAACAATTCACCATCTCAGTTAAGAAAAGCAAGTATGCGGGGTTATTATCAAGTTCCAGTGATGGGGTTACAGAAGTTGAGCGGCGGCAGAAGGTGTCCACGTCCAGGTACGCTTTTCGTTTCAGCACTCGGGGGTGAACGTTGGGCAGGACCAGCCTACCTGAACTCACCCCCACCACAATCACTTCCCATGCCCCATTTCTTATCAACATCCCCATCCCAATCCCCGTCCCCAGCTGGGGAGTGCCCACCTCCCACACCAAACCACTCTGTTGAGTCTGCGACAATGGAGCTGCGTCGCATACTCAACATTGAGGTTGGTAAGTAGTATGCATGTAAGGAGTCGACATCCCTGGCCTCAGCTCCAGACCATGGGTGTCCAAACATCGGTGGGCTGAGTTATGATATTTCTTTTACTGGTTGTGTTCTTATTCAATGTGTTTCTTTGTTTTTTTTTTTAAAATATTTCTTAAAAACATTTGATAGGTCTCTGACAATTACAAAAATTCCATTAAAACACTTGGAATCAATTAGCTAAGCTGCATTCTAGAACTAGTTTGGTCATAGGCTTGTGAAAGTGTGAGGGGGTGTATTTTTGATTTAGTCAGCATTAAAGTTCTTCTTTTTAGTCTTGTAAAAGACTCTAGATTGACCAATAGAGTAAACCCTTCCAAGTCTTGTAAAAAGACTCTCGATTGACCACCAATGTTACATTTTAAAATGAGGGTTTATGTATAGAGATGGCTGCATGTAGGGGATGTGTGAAGCTGCCATTTAGGTGGGTGCGCACTTAATCTCTAATGGAGAGGGCTACCACCCTAATGGTGTGAAAGCTACCTATACAAAATTTAGTCAGCATTAAAGTTCTTCTTTTTAGTCTTGTAAAAGACTCTAGATTGACCAATAGAGTAAACCCTTCCAAGTCTTGTAAAAAGACTCTCGATTGACCACCAATGTTACGTTTTAAGGAGGGTTTATGTATAGAGATGGCTGCATGTAGGGGATGTGTGAAGCTGCCATGGAGGCGGGTGCACACTTAATCTCTAATGGAGAGGGCTACCACCTTAATGGTGTGAAAGCTACCTATACAAAATAGGTGTACACAATAAATTAGGAGAAGGCTACCTATTAGGGTTGAGTGAAAGCTAATGTTGAGGTAAGTAGGTGTATATGCTTCATTTCTAACAGAGATGGCTACCACCCTAATAGAGTGAAAGCTACCACATTAACGGCTTCCTATTTTGTGAAGCTAGTACACCATTTAGTAAACATGGAGAGGGCTACCCGTGAGGAC